TTTGCTTGGGTGTCTGAAAATGAGCTGTCTGGCTGAAATGGTCCAATTCCTTCCAGTTCCAAACTCAATGATATTCTAAGGCCGGCTCACCCCAGGCTTGCTGAAGAGATTCTGTGTGGGTGATTTGGGTAAAAACTCATGTTAAGAGCACGGGACCTGGGCTCAGGTATGGTTTATGCATGTGAAGGTGAAGCAGACAACCATATTTCAATGAATTCAATGATCCTCATTACCTACCTAGAAGGGCATAATGAAATTGAGCAATTTCATTTCTTTTAGTTGTTCTATTAACTGATATATTAGTTGGTTATATTAGTTGTTATATTAACTGGATCACATTTACAAATTTTTTTTAGAAGCAACATGCAATGGAGAATTTTACACTGGAGCTATGGAAATCCACAATGGAAATCTGCAATCCTCACATGATGGGAATGCAATCACTAACTAGTTATATGATCCTGGGTAAGCTATTAAATCTTCCCAAGCCCAAGCACATGTTTAGATAACATGTGTTCTAAGATTTCTTCTAATTCTAAAACTACTGGAATTCATTAGCCACTGTCAAATTTAAAGACCACAAAAGCCACATAGGGAGTTTATACTGAAATGTTTTAAAACACAAATATTTTAAAAAGTGTACAATAAAATGTGTACAGTAATAAGAGCTACTGTTCTGCTTGATTTACCGTTCATGAAAAGGATCTGCAGAGCCTACTTTTCATGAGAATTAAGTGATATAGAAGGGATTAGTACTATTTTCTGTTTTTTATTCTTTGTGTGCTAGTTAAAATCTTTGTAGTAGTAATTGGTATTTTTGTTTGCACAGGTAACATGAATTACCTCTTTAACGAAAAAAGAACACAAACTTCAGTCAGCTAGTTATTCAACTAAATATAGTTATTTCTTTTGAATTTAAGATTCCTAACATTCCTTTCAAATAATGCTTTTGGTCTGACGCAAGTATGATTTATGATTAATTTCAAGGACAATAACAGGCTTAATTAATGTGGTACAAGTATTTCCACAATATACTAACTGTTTCACATTTTCTAGTTTAATTTTGTTGTAAAGTATCCTCTAAGGGGAAGATAGGTTATGATCTTTTTAAATGAAAATATTTTTGACAACTTTTCAACAGCAAGGACAAAAACCAGGATTTCAGGACAGAAACAGCCCTGTTTCAAACAATTCAAAGCATATTTTATTTTTAAAGAGACAGTTTTTCCTTTGTATCTCCTGTGAAAACCTTAAAATTTCAAAGTCTGGAAATCATGTATCATAACTAGTTAGCCTTTGAACAAATAAAGCTCTATAAAGACTGTAACATCTTTATAGAGGATGCACATTTGGGAAAAAATGTTGGTCCTTCTGAGTTTCAGTTACACACATACCACCTAAAAATATAATGGGCTGGGACTGGAGCTGTGGTGTCCTGGCCACTCCACTTCTGATTCAGCTCCCTGGTAGTTGCCTGGGAGAACAGTAAAGGATGGGCCAAAGCCTTTGGCCCTGAACTCTTATGGGAGATCCAAAAACTCCTGGCTCTCAGTTTTGGACCATCCCAGTTTTTGTAGCAGCCATATGGGGAGTGAACCAGTGGTTGGAAGATTCTTTCTCTCTGTATATCTGCCTTTCAAATAAATTTTTTTTTTTCAAAAAAGGATAATAGTTCCTATCTACTACAGTCTTATATTTTGTTATAGTAATCAACAATCACCCAAACAAAATATATTAGATATTGCAGTATAATTTAATAATATATTTCTATTCACACTTGATTTTTTTGTTGTTGTTGTTGTTAAATTATCAAATCAAGATCCAAGTGTAAGAATATTTCTGGTCTGGGCATTGGGCCTAGCAGTTAAGAAGCCCGTGTCTCATGATACAGTGCCTGGCCTCCAGGATACCTGCCCCCAGTTTCCCACTGATCCAAACCTTGAGGGGCAGTACCGACAGCTCAAGTAATTATGTTCCAACCACTTATATGAGTCACCTGGATTAAGTTCTTCCTCGTTTTAGCTTTTGCACAGACCTGGCAATCATGAACATTTGGGGGAAAGAACCAGATGATGCGACCTCTGTCTCCCTCTGTCTTCCTGCCTATTGAATGAATCAAAATTTAAAAATATGTATTTCAGTGGCCAGCCCCATGGTACAGTGGGTAAAGCTGCTGCCCACAATGCCAGTATGCCATGTGGGTGCCAGTTTGAGTCATGATTGCTCCACTTCTGATCCAACTCCTTGTTAATCTGACTAGGAAAGCAACAGAGGATGGGTGGCCCAAGTGCTTGGGCCCCTGCATAGATGTGTGAGACCTGGAGAAAGTTCCTGACTTGTGGCTTCGCCTGGTTCAGCCAGTCCTGGCTCTTTGGTCATTTGGGGAGTGAACCAATGGATGAAAGACTTCTCTGTTTTTCTCCCTCTTCCTGCTTCTCCCCCTTACCCACTCCTCTCTGTAACTCTGATTTTTAAATAATTAAATATTGTTTTTTAAAAGGTTGAATGGGAAATTAAACTTCTGAATTTTTATTTTGTGTTGGAATGTTATCAGATCAAAATTATGCTATGATGCTTATGTAATGCATGCTCTTGCAGTCAGCAGATGATGACTCAAGTAACTGGATCCCTGTCATCAGTTGGGATACCTGATCTGAGCCTCTAGCTCCTGGCTTCACTCAGCATGACCCAAGCCTGACATGTCCCAACCACAGCTGTTATGGCCATTTGGAGCGTGAACAGCAGATAGAAGCTTTTGTCTGTCTTTCTCTTGTTCTCTGTCCCTCTGCTTCTCAAAAAAAAAAAAAAAATTAAAAGTTGAAAGTTAAAATGTACATTTTTCATTAATTTTATTAAAAGATTGACTTTACTTTTATTTGAAAGGCAGATTTACATAGAGAAAGATCGTTTATCTTTTGGTTCACTTCCCAAATGGCTACAATATCTGGAGCTAAGCAAATCCTAAGCCAGGAGCTTTTCCTGGGTCTTCCACATAGATGCAGGGGCCCAAGGACTTGAGCCAACCTCCATTACCTTCCCAGAACACAAGCAGAGAGCTTGGAAGTAGAGCAGCTGGGATATGAACCAGCATCCATATGGGATACCAGCACTTGCAAGTGGAGCATTAGCCTACTGTGTCACCATGCCAACCCCTCATTACATTTTTTAAAAAATTTTTTATTGATTATATTGCATTATGTGACACAGTTTCATAGGCACTGGGATTCCCCCTACCCCTCCGCAAACCACCCCCCATTGTGGATTCCTCCACCTTGTTGCAGTACCACAGTTCAAATTCAGTTGAGATTCTTTCATTGCAAGCATCTACCAAGCATAAAGTCCAGCATCTCCCTCATTACGTTTTAAAAACCCCTCATACAGGAACATTTCATTAAGTTGCATGGTGTTTTTAAAAATACATGTTATATGCAAATTCTTAATATCTAAAACATTCAATGATTTCTTTCAAAATTTTAAGTTTTTAAAATCAATTTGGAGTTCCTAAATTGAAGAATATTACAAAAGCACAACTCAGATCCATGCTTAAATCTTAAGCACAGAGCAATAAACCTTTAGCAGATACAGGCAATTTGTGAATCAGAAATATTACACTGGGGGCCTGGCGGCGTGACCTAGTGGCTAAAGTCCTTGCCTTGAACACCCCGGGATCCCAGATGGGTGCCGGTTCTAATCCTGGCAGCTCCACTTCCCATCCAGCTCCCTGCTTGTGGCCTGGGAAAGCAACAAAGGACAGCCCAAAGCTTTGGGACCCTGCACCTGTGTGGGATACCCAGAAGAAATTCCTGGATCCTGGCTTTGGGGTGGCAAAGCATCAGCCGTTGCGCTCACTTTGGGAGTGAATCATTGGACGGAAGATCTTCCTCTCTGTCTCTCCTCCTCTCTGTACATCTGACTTTCCAATAAATAAATAAATCTTAAAAAAGAAATATTACACTGGAACGATGACCTTAAAGATGACTATGACCCTTAACTGGAACACTTCTTTGAATTAGGAAGCACCTAAAAATCTCCTTGAAGCAGTTGCATCCCAGGGTGTATTTAGAGCAGTAACAAGTTTTAATATTAAAAATAAACAGCATTATATCCAAGATTCTTAGTTGTTTTCTCTTGTAGCTATTTATGCTAATTAGCCTTTATCTACGTATCCAGAATATAATCTTATTCAATTGCATATACTGTGTTTTTGTGTGCTTCATATTTTTGAAACACAGCTTTTCCCTGGAATAATAAGAATTTAGTATTTAAAATTTAGTATTTATATTCTTCACACTAATAATATGATTGATTGGCCACTTATTACCTAATCTACTTTTGGCAAGCCCACTTTACCCATGGAATAACTTAGATTTGAAGAGACCACACCCAACTGCTTAAAGATCACACCACAACTAAATAGAAGTCATTCGAGAGTGTCTAACTCTATGAACCAAAACGCTTTCATTTTAAAACTATGGGATTAAAATTTCATTCCAGACCCAACAGACTGTCATCTTCAGGAGCTGTGCCCTGCACTGTGTTTTGAAACTGTTAATTTGGGATGCACTGCTCCGGCACTCTGCTATTCTGCCTCCCTAGCTGTGCAGATTTTGACTGCTTCTCATGGATGTCAGTCATTTACTGAACCCTCTTATGAGGCAGTGAGTGACGATGGTGCTGTAGAGGACGAAAAAGAAGTAGAGAACATGTCTCCAAGCCCTGAGAAGCATACAAAATAAAAACATACAACTCGAAACATCATGAGACTGTATATCAACAATGGACTGGGCAGGTTTCACAGGAGTGATTTTGTAGAAGCAGGGTACTTTGATTAGGGAGTTGAGGGAAGGAAAAACATAAATTCGCAAAGAAGCAAGAAACTAACATGTATTTCAAGGTTTTGAAAATGAGACTTTTAGGATGGTTTAATGACCCTTCTTTATTTCAAAAACACAATTTTAGGTACTTCAATTTAATTCTCTCTCAAATACAAAGTTACTAACCTTCCACATTCATGGCTTCTCTCAGAACTTGAAGTTTCTTTTGTCTCTCTCGGATCCGGTCCAAAGCACTTGATATTGCAGAGGAGTTGGGCAACTCTGCATCTGGTTTCTGAGGACCAAAGAGATCCAAGGCTATGCTTCCGTCTGAGTATCTTGCCTCTTTCTTCCTAGGAGTGGTTGATGTCCTTCCGGTCACCGTCGCAGGGTGACAGCGACGATATCCTCCGATCTCTCCAGAAGAGGAGTCTCTGTCTGTCGTGCACAGCAAGTCCATGGATGAAGCCCAGATCTTTTTCTTTGGGAGTCCTTCAATGCCTTGAAGAGGTTTTTTTTCTGGACCACTGCTTTTGAATGGATAATGGGAGTCAGTATTTTCAGTATCTTCATGTCCAGAATTGAGATCTGATGAGATGTCCTTGAAATACTCCTCTTCATCTTGTGTGTCTCTGATGGACAGAAATCCCATGGACTTACTAAGCCCTTTGTTAAGGAAAGTCTGAGAGAATGGAGCCTTGTGTATGTCTAGTACATCAGATGTAGTGCTTCTTCCTGGAATGATAAGAATCTATGATGTATGCATAGAATGTTTAGAAAATAAACTGGACTGTAACCCACGATGGACAATGAGCCTGGTGGCAATATCCCAATTTCTACAAATGAAGGATCAGTGCTCTTATTGGATGAATAATCATGATAGTGGAAGTCGAAAGAGACACTATGCTTTTGTAACTATCCAGAGTAAAAAGTCTCTTAGCTAATAAAATAGACAACATATTTTGAGTAGTATTTTATATTCACCAAAGGTGAATATTAAAAAAATAGATAAAAGTGTCTGACTATCATGAAATGATTTGGGTTACTAGCAGGATATACAGTGTTCTCCTTTAACTTCTAAAGGTATAACTGAAACATGTATTACATTATTTTAAAGCCCTAGTATAATCTGGTTTGCTAAATAAATATGTTCAAATAAGTAACAACATATTCTGACCATACAGTGGACAGAAAAATGGTGACATTAAGAATTTGTAAGTTTCAAAGTTTTATTATACTTAACTGTGCTTTTATAAACTTTCACTGGATTTGAAATTCACATAACTTCAAAATCGGATGAAGATGTTGGCTTGGGATCACTGCAATGCTCTTTAGACAGGCCTCTCACCCTGCCTCTACTCTGTTCCTCAAACTATTCCCCACGTAGCTCGGCAACCAGCACTGCTGCCTTCCCAGGCATACTAGTAGGAAGATGGATCAGAAGCAGCCAGATCAAGTGCCTCCTATAACTGACACTCTTGTATGAGGTGTGGGTGTCCCAAGCAACAGCTTATTAATCCTGTTAGTATACAGCTGGCCTCCAGGACTATCTTTGAGAAATAAACATTCCTTGCTATGTTTAACAAGTCTTAGTGGCATAACTGTACTTCATATAAAACCTAAACTAATTTCAGTTTTGCCACTTGAATCCTTCCAAGTCTTGTTTCTACCTTTTCCATTCGTTCCATATCACAGGTTTTTATGTTGCAGTGTCTTAGGCGTTAGGGTCTTTGTACATACTCATCCTTTGTCCTGAACATGGCTTCAGATTTTTCTCAAGATTGATTACTTATCATCCTACACTGTTGTCTTTAATTAATTAATTTTATTTATTTAAAAGGCACAGAGGAAGAGAGAGAGTGAGAACTCTTCTGTCTGGTGGTTCAAAACCCAAATGATTGCAACAGCTAGGACTGGGACAGACAGAAATCAGGAACCAAGAATTCAACTGATGTCTCTCTTATGGGTCATAGGGAACCAACTTCTTTGCTGCCTGCCTGAGCATGCATTTACAGGAAGCTGGACTGGCAAGAGCCAGGATTGGATCCAATAAGGGATGACGGTGTCCTAAGTAGTCAGTAACCCCTGCAAACAACCGATTTTTAACTAGAAATCTGTCACACAAGTGTATTTGGTCTTCAGTGTAATATCAAACATCACTTTCCTTTAGGTAATGTTTGTTTACTATCACTGTACTAATGCTGAGGCTTGCAACTGCTAACAAGGCAGCTCCTCAATAATTACTGCTTTATAGCTGCTGACTTTATTTTTGTCTTAATGCAAATTAATTAGCTAGCAAGATATTTCAGTTGAAATTTATTTAAAGTCTAGAAAGTTATTTTAAATTCTGGAAGGCAGTACAAAATGAAAATGAAAAGAATGCACTTAAAACTCACACTAACTTTTTTACTCTGCTCTCACAAAATGAGGGACCTAAAATAATTAATGAAAATTTAAAAGATATGTTTATTTTGTTATTAAAAACTGAAACCCATTTATAATTTTTCTTAAATTTTTTTAGATTTATTTCTTCATTTGAAAGGTGGGATTACACAGAGGGAGAAGCACAGACATAGAACAATCTTACATTGGCTGGCTCATTCCCCAAATGGTCAGAGCTGTGCCACACTGAAGCTTTATATGGATCTCTCGCGTGGTGTAAGGGCCATAGCACTTGTGCCAATTTCCACTGCTTACCCAGACACATTTGCAGGGAGCTGGATTGGAAGCAGAGCAACTGGGACTTGAACAGAGCCCATATGGGATACTGGCACTACAGGTGGTAGTTAAATATGCTCTGTCACAAAGCCAGTCTCACAATTATTTCCTAGCATGCATATCTATGAACTTTTTAAAGATCCCTTAAATGTCACATTTATGACTCAAATTTCTCTGTGAATTTAAGAATCATATTTTAATAGGCAAGTTAAAATCTCATGGCAATTCCTTATAAGAAATGGTATGAGTCATAGTCTTGAATAGATAATAGAGAACTGAGCTAGAAAATCAAGCTGGGAGAGTAGTTACACTCCCAAGAAAATAAGGTAAAATGTCAATGAAGTATGAAACAAGGTTTAAAATGATATGGATGTATTAGAGGCACTCCAAACCACAAAAACATTAAAGGAAAACACTGATTATGAATGAAGGGAGAGAAGCAGTAGCAAGAATGTGTTATTTGCAGTCAGTGGGCTTCTCCAGTGGATCTATTAGCCTAGGATTGCTTTTGCTTACTCTTTGGAGGAAAAAAGATATAAGTTTGGGCAGGCACATGGGTATAAGTTTAAGAAGCAGATTTTAGCGGATACAAACACATTATTTCTAAGTCAATATTCCTAAATGGCAGAAGTCTCATTGCATTTGCCATGTTAATTATGCTTACTATCTTCAACTAGAGAAGTGGGCATATAATTATCCAACATTGCACATTTTTTCCTACAAAAAAAATTCACACAAAATAAAAATGTAACATTAAAAAAAAATTTGTTGGGGCTTTTAACTGACCGGGACTTTACTCTGTTAGCTCTACCTTCAGACTAGAGAAGGTCTCCCCAAGAAGCCGCTGAACTTATCTGGACAATAAGATGCTGGACTCTATGCTAGGTATCTGCTTGCAATGAAGGAATCTCAACTGAACTTAATCTGTGGTTATGCAGCAAGGGGGAGGAATCCACCATAGGTGGAGGGCTGTGGGAGGGATGGGGGGAATCCCAGTGCCTATGAGACTGTATCACATAATACAATGTTATTAACAATAAAAAAATAAAAAAGATTTATCTATATATTGTGGATCAGCACTGGTGCAAATATATTTTTATAAAAGTTTATTTTAGGAGCCAGTGCTATGACATAGCAGGTTAAGCTGCTCTGTGCAGCACCAGCTTCCCATCTGGGTGTCCAGCCTGGCTGCTCCACATCCAGTCATGCTCCCTGCTAAAGGCTGGAGAATAGGCGCAGATGATGGTTCAAATCCTTTGGTCCCTTAACCCACATGAGAGACCCACAGTCTGGGTCCTCATGAGAGACCCACAGTCCTGGCTTGTGGCCATTTGGGGAGTGCATCAGTAGATGGAAGGTCTCTATTTCTCTCTTTAACTCTGCCTGTCAAATAAATAAATACATTCTTTTAGAAGTTGCATTTCATATATTTTATACCTTTTATGATCTGTGTTACTTTAGAATTTACTGTGTATGGGTGACATGGTTGCTTCTTTAGTTTACTATTGTTCACAGCTGTTGCTTATACTCCCATTAAACTAGGGTATTTTGGTTTTTACTTGTTAACTTATTTGGTAAAGCATTAAGTTAATGTGAATTTAATTTTTACTAGCTAACTTCTTATTTGGTGAAGCGCTAAGTAATGAGATTTTAAAAGATGTTATCTCAAAAACTTAAAAAACGGGGGGAGGAGGAGAAAGGGTAGGATGGGGCGAAGGGGAGGAAATGAAGAAGAAAACATCGTATTCTTAGAATTGTATCTACCTACTATATTGTATCTGTTAAAAACTAATTAAAAAATAAAGAAGATTTCATTTACTCAAGAGTTACAGAGAAAGAAGGAAAGATATAGAAAAAAATCTTCCATCTGCTAGTTTACTCCCCAGATGGCCACAGCAGCAAGGCTGGAGCCACGAGCTTCTTCTGGTTCTCACATATGGGTGGCAGGGGCCCAGGCACTTGGGTCATTTGCATGGTTTTCCTGACACATTAGCAGGGAGCTGGATCAGAAGTAGAGTAGCTGGAACTTGAACTGGTGCCCATATGGGATGTTGGAGACCTACCTGGAGGCTTTATCTGCTCTGCCACAATGCTAGCCCATGAAATATTTTTCATAATTCGGCTCTGGCAATTATACATTGTACTAAATAATCATATAATTGCACAGCATCATGGTTATTTTATGTTACTAAAGCATTAGGGAAGAATTTTTCACTTATCTAGGAACTCAAAGGGAGAGTTCAAATGCAAAGGTGAGGAGAAACAATTCCAGGATCACATAAATCTACCACTCTAGTGAATATAATCTATTTTTTTTAATACTAGCGCCATTTAACAATTATATTGGAGACTAAAATTGTGCAATTTCTCCAACTGCTTTCCAAACCACTGTAAACATGTCTCCAGGTTACTAAATGGCTAATAAACAACAATGGAATGATGGAATAAGTATATCTCACTATCTGGTGTGAGTGCTGGAATTAGAGTTTGATAAAGGGATTTGTTATTTTTTCCACTGGAAGCTCTGACTTTGGAGCTATAATTAAACTATTTCTGGTGAAACGTTCCTTGATGCTTTTCATCCTGGTAGAGGCAGGTGCTCCTTCTACTTCACATTCAATTCATCCTGGACTTCAATTTGGACAACTGTCTGGCTGTGTTAACATTCTCCATGTATTCTGTATGTCACCACTTCCATTCCCTTCCCCTCCCTCGCCTCCAACCGAAACAGTAGGATAAGTTCACTCCTTTTTGTGTATTTTCAATTCCTGAAAAATAGATTCCCAAAGCATCCTTGATGAATGGATTGATTATGCAACTGTTTGAACCTCTTAAAGCAAATTTAGGTAGCACAGTCTACCAGAAAGACTCCTGTCAACTGGTCTGAGTTTTAATTCTATTTTTCTATTCAATTCAGGGATTTGGGAAGGCCATATAATACCCATTTTTTCCCTCCATCTACAAAAATGTGATATGATTTATTATATCTTCTCTGAGATGACAGGAAAATGAATGAATACATATGAACTATGATGAGCTCTTCAGTACCAGGTCAAAATAAAATTCTAAAATATACCTCTCTTTTTCCATTTCTCCTTTATTTCTCTATTTATATAATTATCTACTGAGAAAAGATTTAAAAGTTCTTTTTTTAGTCTTATTTTTTTTACAATGTTTACATACTTTAGAAGTTCTTTTGAGAAGAAATAATGTCACCAGAAATCAGAAGATTTCCCATGAAAGTGCTAGATTTACTCCATCATTAAAAGCATAAAGTTGACCATAAATGGATTTCCTATCTTTTGGGGGAGATTGTGAGTGTAGAATTTATCCACAGCATTAAATTACACACAATTATAAATATCCAGGTATACAATGAAATCATAAGCATTTTCTTAAACATTGCTGAAAAGTAAATAAAATGCAATACAAGTCATAAATAAAAGATTCCCATGATATAAAAATCTTCATAATGGAAGACTTGAATTGAAAAGAAGATCGTTTTTGTAAGTTTCATTGTGTTCTATTTGTGCTTTATGTGGTTAACATTACCTTTAACTGGCTACCATTGTTAACCTTTCCCCTTACACGTATCAAGGATCACAGCCTCTCCTGGAAGTTAATTTGAAAATGACATATCAGTATTAAAAAAAGGCTCGTGATCCTTCATCTGTCCTCATAAAATGGGCCCAGTACACCTAGACAAGTAACACAATAGCATCAGCATGCCCAAATTCTAAAGCACTATCATGTTGATCTGATCACGGTTTAGGTTTCCACCTTAAGCTTGGCAGGAAATGTTTGATTTCTTTCTGCTTACTGAAGCCATTTTATCAGCATTTGTGGTGTTAAATAACAAGGAGGAAGAAAGCAGACAGAACTCGAGGTTTAGGCCTTAGTGTCTGTGATAGCTCCCAGGGGTAAGAAAAAAGACCTTTCACAATCGAAGAAAAAATTTTACTAAATTTTATTTGAACAATTAAATCGCCAAATAACAGGTGTTAATCCTAAACTTTCTCATTTCTTTTAGTCTAAGTACTTCAATGTCCATCCAGGCATTTTGTTTATTCAAGTCTGTGATCAGCGTATCACCATGTAAAGGTTTTCGTTGAGGTGTACATTGAAGAGAATGCTTTATCCCTCAGGTAATATGAGAGTTAAGAACTGACACTGCCCCTAAATGACACTGATACTCTTCAAGAGTAATTCTATAGGAGGCATTTTCCTTTTTAATATTTGCAAACTCTTGAAATTAGTGTATGCTGCTGGTAATGGCTATAATTAGTTTATTTATATGGACTCAATCCATGAAGTGAGGTTTTACAAAACTGAAAACGAAAAATTGAGAGAGCCCCTACGTAATAGTATTGTGGAAAGGAATGACTAAAAAGGCCTAAGGAATCCTTTTCCATCATCCTCAACTCAAACAAAGCTATTGAACAGAAGGCCGTGTAAGCATTTAATGAGAGCTTATTTTAATCAACTAATTGTAATTTAATTAAATTCTCTTGAGTTTATATACAGGACAGATCTCCAATAAATATTTTCCAATATGACCAACAAAGAATAAAAATTAATGAGAGCCTCTTTAAGGAATTCATTTATGTTTTGTAAAGTCATCAGTCACAACTTAAGACAATAATACTAACTCTTCCTTCATGTTACAAAAACAAAGTTAAAAATAAAAGGCATTATAATGTGATTTAATACTGATACTTTGTTGTTTTAAGAAAATGGTCCTACCCATTGTAAAACTAGATGGGAAATCAATGGGGGTGGAGGGAGGGACCTTGGGGAAGAGTAAAAGCAACCCCAGAGCCTATGGAACTGTACCATAAAACAAAATGAAATATTTTTAAATGTAAAAGAGAAAATTGTCCGATATATGAGCTAAGATAGTGAACTACAATTTCTCTTTATACTTTCCTTGAAACCTAATGGTTAAAATCAACTAAATAAATTCTAGTGTCATATATTTCTTTATAGAATTATGAAAGAATTATCTTACATTTCTTATTATATTGCATCTCAAAATCTAATACTTAATAAAAAATCTTTACAAATAATCTTTAATAGCGCCCTTTAAAATAGGATGATGGGCTGGCATTATGGCTGGCATTGCTAGTTCCACACTGGTACTGGTTTGAGTTCCTGGCTGTTCCACTTCTCTTCCAGCTTCCTGCTAATGTGTCTGGGACAGCAACAACAGATGGCCTTAGTAACTGGGCTGGATGAAGTTTCAGCCTCCTGGATTCAGCCTAGCCCATCCCTTCCTGTTTGTGACCATTTGGGGAGTGTACCAGAATCATTGAAAGTAACATAATTCAACTAAGCTGAAACTTAAAAATCTTTAAAATCTGGCAAATTATACATGGGAAGAAGTGACCATGTTTTCTTTCCATAGATCTGTGATGGAGATGAAACAGAATATGAGCTATATTATATGTTATATATGTATACACACAAACATATGTAAAATATATATAAACGTTCTTAAAAAGCACAGATGTCTATTAAAATAATCATTAATTATATAAATTAAATTTGCCAAAATCAGTAAGTAACACACAAGCAAGTGAATCAATTTTATAACACGGCCACTTGATGGTAATAGGAGGTGAAAGTGAGGGACTATAGAAAGAAATTGGAAAAATAAAAAACTAATCAGCAAAGAGAGAGTGGAATATATCATGTATGTGTGTGTGTATATATGAGGGTATTTCACAGAGTTCATGGAAAATAGAATAAAGCTTTATTTTGGTGCCAAAAAAATTAATTCATGTATTGAACTTTTTTCATAAAATGTAAACCTTTTCAGGAGCCTTTCTATGCATAGATTTCACACTTTTTTGCACCAAAATAAGCTTATTTTTAAAATCCCATTTCCCCATAAACTTTATGAAATACTATCACATACAGAAGTTTGATAAAGAAGCACTTGTAAGAAGAGATTAAAAATATTTTTATAACTGCCACCTAAGCATTGTAATCTGTAAGCTAAAGCATTTTTAACCCACATATAAACTAATAATATATGCATCAGAAAATAAACTTGATATAGCCAGACATAAATTCATTATGTTAATGATCTAAAAACCCAGATGCCTTTTCAGAAAAATAGTTCTTTTTCAAGTAAGCTAAAGAAACACCCAAACAGTCCTTGAACTAATTGCCTCATTACAAACTTACACTATTAGAAATGATTTGGACTTCTTAATGTAATCAGTGCACTTTCTTAGGTATTAGAGTCTGAATTTGGTAAAACTTTTGGTCCAAATAATCAGATATATGCATTTAGCTTTAATAATGAGACTTTTTAAAAATAGTCTTTTAAATAAAACAGCTGTGTTTATCTGATTAAAAATTAAAGACCTTAAATGTTTGAAACCATTCCATAGACAACAATGATTAGAATATCAGAATATACTTAAGCAATCCATATGTTTATGTCTCCTTAGCTTCAAGCTCCCACATAATAAAATTTTTCACCCACAAAATATTTTTGTAAATGTTTAGATGATCATGATTCTGTCTCGAGTAAAGAAAACAAAGACAATCAGCAAAATTGAGAGCTCAACTTAATAAGTCTAAAACTTAGTACTAAAAATTGAAATTATCACAGAAAAGCTCATTTTGCGGGGCTGATGCTGTGGTACAGCGAGTTAAGCTGTCACCTGTACTGCTGACACAACGTGTAGGTGCCTGTTTGAGTTCAGACTGCTCCTCTTCCGATCCAATTCCCTGCTAATGTGCCTGGGAAAATAGCAGACAATGTTTTAAATACTTGGGCTCCCACACCCACATGGGAGACCTGGATGAAGTTCTTGACTCCTGGCTTTTGCCTGACTCAGTTTTGGCTATTGCCTACATATGGGGAATGAACCAGCAGATGGAAGATGGAAGATTTCTCTGTCTGCACCCCCTCTTTCTGTAACTCTGCCTTTCAAATAAATACATTTTTTAAAGCTTACTTTTCCTACTTTAAGTGTTTGGAGCTTCTATTCATTTCTTTACAAATGAATTTAATAATTGTCACAGGAACCATAATTCTACAATGTTACTGGCGATTAGCAAAACCACTACTCATTGTAACTTTTTATTTAATTAGCATCATACATAACCCAAGATAGTGTTTAATAACCGTAAGTCATAAAATCAAGTTAGTGCGTTGTGACTAGCATTAAAAACAGAAGTAGATAAAGAGGATTAGAATGCAATAATAATGTTGCTTTCTGGAACTTCTGCTTCAGTAGTGTTTACTGCCATAAAAATATACATACAATTATTTGGTCATCGCTTATAAAGTATTTTTAACATAAAAATATCACGATAAAATAAATAAATGATGCAAAATACTAGCAAAGGAAATAATTTACTGTCAGAGTGCTGACTGTATTAATAATATATTTTGGGGCAGGCTTTTGGCACAGTCCTAGCGCGGCTGCCTGGGGCGCCTGCGTCCCATTTTGGAGTACTTGTGTTCAAATCCTGGCTCTGCCTCTGATTCCAGCCTGGGAGGCCGCAGGTGATGAATCAAGTGCTTGGGTTCCTGTACCTACACTGGAGATCCAGACTGAGTTACAGGTTCCGGCTTTGTCCGGACCCAGTCCTGGCTGCTGCAGGCATTTGAGTAGTAACCAACAGATGAAAGATTTCTCTCTACCATTTTCTCTCTCTCTCTCTACTTTTCAAGAAAAAAGAAGGAAAGAAAGAAAGAAAGAAAAAGAAAAATGTCAAAGCTAGAATTCTACTCTTAAACATTAACATAAATAAATACTTTAAAAAGAATGTTGCTTATGTAACTTCAATGGATTTATATGTTAAGCTAGCTAACATTCTGTTTGCTGCTCCTACTTTGGTATGCCTATGTTCTAATCACAGTCACTATTGTTAATTTCCAAGTATAACTTTTATAAGATAAAAGAAACAATCGAATGAGTTTAAAGCCTAAAAATTTCCTATTTATAAATACTCTTACCTGTTGGTAATCCTTTTCCTCTCAATCGGTCTCGAATAGCCTGGTTTCGATCAGGTTTTTGTTCACTGTTATGGGAGAGCTGATCCGTCTGTATACAGGTAATCAAAATCAAATTTGACAAAACAATTTTCCTTCTGTTTTCATGCAATTGTCTACAGAATGACACTAGTTATAGTCAGGACACATCATTAACTAGTGATGCTCAAGTGAAATTTATATACCCAAGTGCCAGCTAATTTTTATTCAAGATATTAAAAGGCTTGGAGTCATTATCAAAGAATAATCTCAAAACTGGGAATGCAGTTGACCAGATAAAAGTATGTAGTTAAAATGAAATCTATTTAAAAATATTAAACCTGAAAATTTCCCCCCCAATTGAGAATTACTTTCATCTCACAAGTTAGATTTTGACTTTGAAAACACATTAATTTTGGTATAACGACTTTCCTTGACTGCAACTACTGAAGACATTAATTTAATTTTTTTTGAAATAATTTCCTACATTTTGCCTATCAGGAATTACATTTGAGAATTGCGATTTTTAAACTAAATGAACACATGGAAGGTGATAATTACATTTAAATTGAGGTTTGTTTGAGTTCTCTTTATGATCATGTTTAAATTTTAGTCTTCAATAACTTTAATGAAGGACATTTGTTTAAAATAAGGCATCTTAAATGAGGACAAACTCCAGGTAGATGAGAAATGTTAAGATATAAGTGAAGAAAAGAGAACGGTAAAGAGAAATGACAAACTTGGCTCCAAGAGCATGTATATGTGTTTGTTTACACATATACATACATAAATTTTAATATTCTTCCATCAGCGAAATGCATTTAAAATGGATTAAAAACGTAAGGCAGTATATTCAAGGATAAAGTTCTATGTTTTCTACCTTTGAAGACCTACATGGAAATGCTTCTGAAACAATGTAATCAATTAAATTGTATAAGATATGCAACTAGATGATACTCTATTATCAGTAAGCGAAAATATAATGAGCATCCCACATCTTTGGAAATCTTTGGAAATAGCTGTTACTGAATAGTGGTTTTATGCTAGATGCTGCTTTAAGTGCCTTACACGCTCTATGGACCCTCAAAATAACTTCATATGGGATATTCCTATTATCCTTAGATTACAGAAAAGGGAGAAATAGTGAAAGAACTTCTTAGGGCTTAAAAACAATTAATAAATACTGAAATAATTATCCTCACAACTGTTCAGTAATATGGGTGGTTAGTACATACTATTATTTCATTTTACAGAGAAGTAAAATTGAGGCCAAAATATTAAAACAGTGTAAGAACCAGGACAAGTAAACTAGATTTTTGACTTTTACTTTGTGCTAATTAATTTTAAGTGTGTAAGGAACAGGATCACTTCAGATGAATTCCACACTAGTGGAAGACTAGCTGATCCCATCAGCTGCTGGTGACCGCAGATTCTGAGTTCATCCTGGGACTTGGGGTCAGAGACCCAGGTTCCAGTTCTGCTTCTGTCATTTACCTTATGTGGGGTCACAAGCCAGTGATTTAATCCTACTGAAATCTAGTGCTCATGTTGGCAGCACATATACTAAAATCCTACTAAAATTTAGTTTCATCATCTCTAAAATGAGATAAATTCTTTTAACCTGTGGTTAATATGATGAATAAATGTGATAATTCACATAAACTGCACAGCACAACAACCGCACTGATTAAAAGTAACAGCTTCTGGAGTTGCTTTTATTCAGTGATGTCTCCGTGATGTCTAGGAGACTAGAGACAACAGTGGAAAGGTGCAGGAAGTGCTTTTACTGTTGGTGAAAATTTACCTTAGTAACACAGAGGCTCTCTGTAGACTGCTTCCAATGGATGCTTCTAGTCTTCTTTCCCACTAAACAACCCTTAATACAACCCTATGCCAGATTTAGGACCAGACTTGTTACTGTTCCCCAAACACATCCTGGTCTTTCTCATTTCACAGCATTTATCCAAGGCTACTTCCTTCTATCTAACCTACAGGATCTAGTTCAGGTAGCTATACTTTGCTTCCTTTTCCTTCGAATTCTTAAATCTTTTCAAATTTTTTTCTTACACTTATTCTTCACTGCCTTCTTTGTATTTTATAATTAAATAGATGGTGACAGCATTTTACATAAGAGCTCCTAGACCAAATATTTTAATTTAGTCTTTTACAGTCTCTATTCAGGTCTCACACACAGATGAGCAATAATTAATTACCACATCGAACTAAATGCCTTTTAGTAATATGAGAAACTATTTGATAGATAACAGGACTCCCATGGAGGGATTTTTTTTAATGGAAAGACAGAGAGGAAAATATTGTCAGCAATTTTACTATAGCAGTAAAGTCAGAATCGAACACAAAGTCTTACAGAAATGATAGTGTAACAGAAAGATTGTTGGACTAATAGGAAATTTAAATCCCACAGTGTCTGAATCTTAATTTCCTCAACTGTAAGTGGAAGAACTTTTACAGAATATTAGCGTTATGAGAAAATTTGCAGAAAAAAAATCCCACCAGGAGTAAATAAGCTTGGGAAATATTTCATCTGCCTACTTATTATCCCTCTTGAAGGTTACTAATAGGCTCAGTATTTTAAGAGTTCTGAGAAGTTAAGGCAGCAAAAATACATTTTACTTCTTCTAATGATTTTTCTCAAGTTCACCTGGTCATAGACAAACTTTCTAACCAAAAAATTACATTTGAAACAATGTGAAAATTTTGGTTTAGATAAAGGGACATTCACAGATTTTCAGTAATTTTATCATTGCTAAAAAAACCCCACACATGCAAAAATATGGTAAACAAAACTAGAACTACTTTGTTAAAGAAGGGAAATGAGCAACCATGCCTAAGGATTCTATCAACTCAGCCTCTACTACTGATATTCCTCCTCACTGCCGAACACAAAGCATCGGTGTGGGAAGCATTTACAAAACCATTTCTCTAGATTTCTGAGCCCATTTCTTACAAATGCAAAGCATATGGGATTTCGGTATATTCCTGGTAACCATACAATATCTTGATTAAGATGGGGGAGCTAAACATAGGGAGATAAGGAAATAACGGACACACAGAAAGAATGTTGTGCTAAATAGCAAATGTGTAGCCCACACAAACAACATGGGTCACCACTCAGGGACCACAACTATAATGAATAAGAAGCAGATAAAGTTCAGATCTGGATCAGGTATCAGAGTTCAAGGTGTATCCAAGCTAGGGCAAAAAGCTTATAATATAATTTAAGATACATAGGTGTGACTACTACATAAGGAGTTTGTCATTCCTGGGATTCTTCATGATCAAGATAAGAGAAAATGTGGAAGAGTCTACTTCTTAGGGTCACCTGGCAAGGAGTACAACCACTGACATTGTGAACACATTGGGCCTAGACAATATCGGGAGGGTTCGGGGAATACCTAAGAGATAACAGGCAAATGCATTGTCAACAAGCAACAGGATGTATGTTTAAATATCTCTGAAACTCATTTTATACATTAAGATAACTCTACCCGAGTGCTCACTATACTACTAGAAGCTCCTTCCAAAAAAACAAGAGTCTAGTAAAACAGGCAGGAGCAGACATTTTCAGTTTAAACATGTTCTGGTTCTGTACTTTCTGAAATGAAGTTCTAAAAAAAAAAAAGGCCAATTCTCATAAAATCTCAGACTAAGTTACGGCAACAGGCTTCCAAATTATAAGTACTATTTCAAGTAAACAACCTTAGAACAAAAAATTAAATTTCCTACTCCTAGTCTTCAGGAAGATGCTATCTATATAAAAGTGGTGTCTTTTAAGAAAAATGCTGATACAATAGATTGAAAAGCTGAGTATCCTGAACAATTGAAACTGAGGCTTACCCCTGAAAAATTTCCCAGAACCAGTTTTACTAACTGTTTCACATAGGAAAATGAAGGTGCACAGTTGCTATTCCTAATGTGGGCGCTGCAAGCATCTAGGACAGTCCGAACAGAAACTCGCGCATAAATAACATCCTCACACATTCCAAGCAGTATGCTGTTGAGATGATCTCCAAGCTTGATGGGCTGAATTTAAAAAAAGAGAAAGCCATGTTAATAAATATGAGTAAACCTCTTTCTAATACAGAACAAGTCATTCTAGAAATTGAGGTAACTGTACTAAACATACTTCAAATACAGGAAGGAAATGAGTCTTTCTCTACTAACAGATACTTCTTACTATGTTTTACCTTTCTATGGTCCCAAAAAATTATTAGCAGAAATTGGTTAACCAATAGAAGAAAATATTACAGAAATACTGTTTTTTTTTTAATACGATAAAGAAGTTGAATTCTTGATATTCAGGTATTATTATTCAGATATTTTGGCAAGCAATTACTACACACATATAATTTGAGAAAATATTTCCCAGTAATCAATAAAATATAATAATACATTATCTTTTTGATATTATCATGGTAACTTAAAGGTGATTTCAAATACCATAATGACTTAAGATCATTTAAATATGAGGTCTTATAATGCTGGCGAAGAACCTGGGTATTTTCTGCCTTTTGTAACTGATGCCTTAATGGCTTGGCTGGGGGCTGTGTGAACTCCAGGCCTGATAGTCTACCTGACACCTGGCAGGGCACCTGGCACCTGGCAGGTCACATAGGCAGAGCACTCCTCAGGAAGGAGGAACCTGGTGTTTGATAAAGTTCACCAAGGTTCACCGCCCTATAGCTTATTGATTTGTACTTTTTGAAAGTTGCTTACTTCAAACCCACCAATAGAAGCCTGCTAAATCATGACTGTATAACTAATAGCGTAAAATATATAAGAACGCTGGGCTGTTCAACCAGGGGATGAGGGGGGTGGCTCTCACTCAGGCTCACTCTCATTCTTTTCTGTCCTCCCTGTGGATCCTGCAGCAGCCTAGGCTGTGGCTGCCCCTCCCCTGCCCAGCTGGGCTGGGCTGGGGGAGGTGGCTGGGAGACCTAGGCTAACCTGCATAAACCACCTTTATGCCTTTAGCACCGACTTCAGACTTGATGATTTTCTGGGGATTTCAAAATCCGGCACAACACTGGGGCAACTAGGAAGCCAGAATTTGATATTTTTTTCAATTACTTAATATAATTTGTAAGTATTATATCCAAATGGCTAGTAATCATGTGAAAAGGTGGCCAACATCATTACTCACTAACAAATAGAATTAAGATCACAATGCACTATACATTGGATTAAATGGTTAAATAAAAATGTTGATAATACCAAGTATTAGTAAGGAGTGGAACAGTTGGCACCCTCTAGACAAATGCCTTCTTTACCATCCTTCCACTTCCTGTTCCTCTGGGTGTTATTCCATCCTTTAGGTCTTAGCATGCATATAGTGCCCTGGAAGAAATCTATCTTAGTCCTAGTCAGAGATCCCAGGTCTGCTTTTCCATAGCACATTCTGCACCAACATAGGACTGACTGCCACATGCTAGATAAGGCATGCTCTGCCTTTAAATTATACTAAATATTTCCAAAATTATTATGATTTCTGATCATTAAATTCAAGTATGCATTTCCCCTCAAATTTATAACTTATTAATATTGACTTTGTTTCCAGTTATCAGAAAAGAATTTCAATTATAGACTATAATCTCATTTGATATATATAACTTAAATGGATAATATATGAAACTAATATGTTATATGATAATCCTTTTCATTTCCATCTGTAAAGTTAAAACTGACAAGAGGAAGACAATATTCAGCATATTTCATATAAAGTAAGATGCAACCAAATTGAACATCCTTCATCTTTTATGGATGTTACTATGTTTGAATTTGAGTAAAAACCTAAAATGCTTGCTACTTCTTCAATTTAACTAGAAAAAAATACCCCCAGCTATTTTTCATTTTGACTTCATGCGTAAAAAAATCCTCTAATTCTACATGTAGCACTTTGCTTTGAATTTAAATTCTTGTTCAATTATTGTTTATTACTATGCACATATTAGATCTTAGAAATCAGAATTATTTTAGAAAAGAAAGACTAGAAGTAGCCCAATGGTCAGTGGACCCCAGGACCTCAAAAATATTAAATTAATATCTTTATCTGGTACAACAGAGGCAGTGAAGTATGACTCTGAAAAGCCAAGAGGAAAAGAAAAAACAAAGCAATGAAGGTCTCTGATACTGAAACATAATTCCAACTAGAATTTCCACAGGTTTTATATGAAAAAAGTTACCACAATTAGCACAAGAAAGACATTTATATTCCCTACTGTCGGTCACTAAACTGGAACACTCTGGTTTCCCTAAAGACAAAGCCAAGGCTGGCTCCATCTCACAACCTGAGCTGCTGAAACCTGGTAGCGACAGCTGCAATTCTAAGACTAACTCAGAAGTAATATTTTAACTACTTTATTGCTGGGAATGTGTGACAATACTGATGTGAACAGAGAAATGTTGATGTATCTGACAGGGGCTAGAGAACAGATACAAACACACAGAAGAGTTTTTAAAAATTTGTAGAATTGTAAAATTTAAAAAATTACTTACTTGGCTTTGAGGTACTTCATGATCAGCCCCCCAATACAGTGTCATCCCAAGAGAATAAATATGAATCTAGAAGAATTTAAAAAAATTTATGCAAAAATAAAATTTAAAACTGAGCAAGTACCATTTATTAAGACATTTTTTATTTCAAATATAACAAGAAATTTGAAAAACCATCATTTTCAATATTACATAAAAGTATGGGAGTATGTAAGATAATAGACTATCCTTCCTACCCACCCCAACTATTTCCCCAGTCTGTCCTCTATGGGTAATCATTTTTATTGTTCTTCACATACTAAAAGTTCTTTTGCGTACTTCTGAGCAAATATGAATATATATTCAAATCTCCCCCTTCTTTCATAAAGGTTAAAAACTAAAATATACTCAGAAGCATGTTTAACTTATCAATGGAAACATTTCCATATGGATGCCTGGAGAATTTGTCTTTCTTACTGTTGTACAAAATTCCATGTGTAGTTGTAACATTGTTTATTTAATCAGTCTGTATTAATGGGAAATTAAGATTTCTTTCAGGGGTGGGTGGGTATTGGCACAGTACTTAAGATACTGCTTGGGTACCCTGTATCCATATCTGAATGGCTGGGTATAAGTCCCAGATTGACTTCTCGTTCCAACTTCCTGGAAATGAGCACCTTGGAAGACAGCAATTGAAGGCTCAAGTATGTGGCACCTTGTCAGTCTTCTTGGAAACCCAGAGAAGTTCAGGGCTCTTGTGTTTGGTCTGGCCCAGGTATTTGGGGAGTGAACTAGTAGATGGAAGATCGATATCAATCTCTCTCTCTCTGCCTTTCACATAAATAAAATTAGGCAAATAATGCAACAACAATCATTATCAAAAGGGCTTCATACTGTTACACAATGGAGTAAGTTGGCTAACATCCTGCATGAGTGATATTTTGAGTCCAAGATATTCTGATTTTCATCTAGTGTCCAGCTAATGCTTCTAGGAAAGAACTGGAAGCTGGCCCAAATACATGGGCCACTGCTAATCATGTGGAAGTTCAGGACACTTTTCTTGGCTTGGGGTTTTGGCCTGGTCCGACTCTTGTTATTGTGGCCACTTAGAGAGTGAACCTGTGGGTGGAATATCTGTGTCCCTTTCCATCTCTTTGTCAATTTGCCTTCAAATAAATAAAGCAAAAAAAAATTTCCTTAAAAGATTTCCCCCTTAGTTTTACTATTAGAAATAATGCTTTGACAGACAGACATAGGTGTCCTTGTAACAAGCAGGTATTTCTTGTAAATTAATGAAATCACATATAGTTTTCACACATATTATTAGATTCCCTACACAGAAGTTTTATCATTTTGTACCTCTACTAGCAATATACAAGAGTTTTTAAGAAGCTTTGTCCATAGAGTACATTAAAGACCTGAATTTTTCTCTATCTGAAAAGTAACTGAATGCAGTAATAGGAAAAATATGTTGGGTCTTGTTTGCTTCTTAAAGATGGGAGAACACTGTATTTTTTTTTCCAAGGATTTAGTTATTTTTATTGGAAAGTCAGATATACAGAAAGGAGGAGAGGCAGAGAGGAAATCTTCCGTTTGATTATTCACTCTCCAAGTGGCCACAATAGCCAAAGTTGAACCAATTCGAAGCCAGGAACCAGGAGCCTCTTCCGGGTCTCCCACGTGCATGTGGGTCCCAAGGCTTTGGGTCATCCTGATCCTTCCTTTCTCTCTCTCATGGGATACATTTCTACCACCAAATTATTCCCCCTAAGTAATGATGCTATATGTTTAAAGAAGGATATAATGAACATGTATTACATGACAAGTCATATATTATATCATTGCATATTACCAGAAATTAGTTGATTAGTCAGTGGAATATGTGAAATATGGTACGGTGAAGTGATGCTTACAGAGCTGAATTCCTACAATGCTTTTGTGTTTTTCAAAACTGCAGCATTTGTTGTATTTTTGTATGTGTGTTGTAATTGAACCATGTGACATTGAATTTATCATCTTAACAACTTTTCAGTGTACATTTCAGCAGTGTTACATATGTGCAACACAACTCAGCTACTCATTCACTTCAAACAAAGCTCTATACCCACAACACAACACTATACAACTCTATCCCCACCATACAACACTACACAACTCTATACCCACTATACAACTCTATACAACAGTATACAACTCTATCCCCACCATACAACACTATACAACTCTATCCCCACCATACAACACTATACAACTCTACATCCACTGTACAATAATGCCTCTTTCGCCAGACCTTGGCAATCACTTTCCTATGACTTCCCTGAGTGAAATCACATAGTATTTGTGCCTTTGTGATTGCCTTACCTGACCAAGTATAATGTCCTTGAGGTTCTTCTGTGTTGCAGCATGTGACAAGATTTCCTCAAAATTTTAAGGGACTTATTTATTATTTTGAAAGGTTGAGAAAAGAAGAGAGGTATCTACTATTTATTGGTTAACTCTCCAAAAACCAAGTCAAGGCCAAGATGAAGCCAGGATCCAGGAACTTCTTCCAGGCTCCCATGAATGTGGCAGCAACCCAAGTGCTTGTGCCGTCACCTGCTGCTTCTGAGGTAGAAGCCTTGTCAAAAATGTAGAGTAGCTGGGATTCATACCAGGTACTCTAATAGTATTCCAAGGAACAGCTTAATCCACTGGCCACAAAGTCTGCCCCTCCTATTCTTGGGTTAGTTTCCAAAATCCCATAATAGAGCATTTCTAGACCAAAGCCAGGAGCCTGGAACTCCATTTAGGTCTCCCATATGGGTAACAGGAACACAGGAACTTTAACCTCCCAGTATATTAACAGTGAGAATGAGCCCTTATAATATAAAGGCAGAACTCCGCTTCACATCTGTCCCTTAGCCCAAGGTGTCCTTATCTGTTCTTTTTCAGAAGAAACTCACTGAATTGAGTCAGTGATACAACTGGCTCAACCAGGTTCTAATCACCAATTCAAGGAGTCATTTGCTTGTCCAGTAGATAAAACCCTGTTTGGGCAGTACTGTCAAGAGGGGTTTGCATAAGGGAATTCCAGATCTTGGGCAGATGGTAATTACCACTTACTTACAGTGGTCTCAAGTACCAAATAAAGCCCACCTGGCCATCATAAGCATTCCTTAAAGTACATAGTATCATTTATATTAATGATTATGTGAAAATTTACTGTCAATTGGTGAAATGGCCATTTTCCATTCAGTTACTATTTATGGCCATTTTCTCTGTTCCCACTAATCAAGGGTCTCTTTGTTTTTACTTGCTAAACTTAAGCCATCTCCCTGTAATGCAAATGTAAAAGATATAATCTCAAAATTTAGACGAAAACAAAGAAAGGGAGAAGGGGAGAAGGATGAGGGGAAATGAAAGTAGAGAAAAGAGTGGGAAAGAGGAAAGAGGAATGAGGAAAAGAAGATAATTATATTTTCAGAATTGTATCTACAAACTACATAGAGTGATCATGGAAAATCCAGATAGGAAGAACAAATAATTTATAAACTTTGGGTGTTCAACGTAAATTCTATTGGATTCAGCAATTGCTCTCTTTATTTATATATAAAAAAACCCCAGCTTTATAGCTTGATCATAAAAATGATGCCAAAAATCAAAAACATACAGAATAGTTTAAATAAAACTTCCTGTAGCCCTCTCCTGCCACCATGGCAGGAGATGTTTCCCATTTTGCTGTCTCTCCTCCACTCCCACTCCTGTTCCTACTTTGCTGGAATAAAAGAACCTCTTAGGTACCTTGCTGTCTGGTATTCTGATTTATGGTGGCAAATTTAATGCTGGAAAGAGCACTTAACTTTGATGAAAGAACAAACCCATCCTTCCATTTAGTGCCTGAGTTAGAGGGAGAGACAGACAGAGGTCTTCCATCTGCTGGTTCACTCCAGGTATAGTCATACTGGGTCAACTGAGTCAATCAGATTCCCATGTAATCTTGATCTCTCCAAGTGATCCCCTTTGGCAAACTTAACCTTCAAAATCACAAATCACATTATATCCTGATCCTATAAATAAAATACCTGCCTTATGAAAGGAGGTTTCAAGTCCTGGTTTTCAAAATCTTCCTCATGCTACCTTATGCCCTCTCTTTCTTTCGTTAATCACAGCCCTTAGGTAGTTAAAGCTCTGGCCTCCCTGGTCTGACCAACTGTTCTTAATCACAGTGGACAATGTCTGTCTTCTTACTAACAATCTTAGCATGTGCACTCATTCCTCACAGCCAAATTCAAAGGCTATCTTATCTATAAAAATGCTTTATTCCAAAAATTAATTTCTCCTTTTATAGACCCTAACAACACTTCATACCTCTTGCTAGTGTATATTTTTTAATTTAAAAACGTATTATTTGAAAGACAGAGACAGAAAATCTTCCATATTTCTGGTTTATTCCCCAGGCTCGCATTAGCTGCAGTTGGACCAGACTGAAGTCTAGGGTGGGCACTCAAGCCTCACGCCCCACCTGGAGTCGGGGATCCTTGAGTTGTCATCTGCAGTGCATCAGGAGGAAGGTGGAACTGGAAGCAAAGCCAGGACTGAAACCCGGGCATTCCGATGTGGGGTATGCCGTCATATGGAATATGCTTAACAACTGCATCAAGTACCTGCCCTTCATTTTGCCATGAATTATAGATTGCTCTACAGACAGGGTCAGCTTTCTGGTTACTTTTGCATTTTTTTTCACCAACACAGCATTTTATACACAGGAGGCACTGGACAAGTATCTGGAAACATGAATTAAAAGTGGAACATTTTTATCATTTTTTTTCCTCACATTCGGAACCTTTTATAGAAGTGTTTAGAATTTGTAAATATGGACTTCTTGGAACACATGGTCATTTTAAATTTGATTTGATTTCTTCAGAAGACTGAGATAGGGTAAGCCCACAGTCTTTACTTGCCCCTCCCCAACCGAAACAAACTAAAAAGCTTTAACAGTTACCTTTTCCACATCTGAGAGAGAAGTCAGGGATTGATTTTGAAGAACCTCTGGTGCAGTGAACGCCCGAAGATCCTGATTGGAAATATTCTCATCAGTAAATGACACACTACCAGATGGCAGCAACAGAAGAGACCAGGGAGAGATGATGAAGCCAAGGGCAGCAGGATCAGTGATGCTGACTGGTGTGTAATTGTGCCAGAAAAAAAAAAGGAAAGAAAAGAGAAAAACAGTTAATTATAATCAGAGGAACCAGAGATCACTTCAGTAGGTATCCCAGTGCATTCATGTAGATATAGATATACAGTTATACCATATCAACATGCTACACAAAAAAGAATAAACTTCACATAAACGCAACTGCAAGCATTTTAAAATTGTTTTTCATGATACAGTTGCACAGGCTCAGGGCTTTCCCCTTCTGTCCTCTGCATTTGCTCTCCCCACCCCCGTCTTCCCCTATATTATTACAGTAGTATATTCCTTCTGCAAGTCACAAACCCATCATTCTGAACTGTAAGCATTTTTAATAATGAAGCCTTGATTTAGCTCTAATCTTCTAAAATTTGGATGGTGGACAGATTGCAGAAGCTAGAAATAGAAAACTTGCAATGTCAGTCATAAGAATCAAACTTGACTCAAAAATTTTATCATAGTAATATAAGATATATAGATAATGATAATGATATAGATAATGATCATTAGTTATTAACTTTTTGGGGGGGTCATGGATTCCTTTGAGGAACTGGTGAAGGCTAGCTACGTTTTCTCTTTTAAAAAGACACTGCTCCTATATACAAAACTGTATACAAAGCTTCACACACACATTACGGCTGCAACATGGCCAATATTATGGCAAAATAGCTTCAATGACTCAACCAACACAGTTAATAATCATATGTTTATTACTTTCCTTTGTAGGGGGCAAAACAGTAACATTACACACAGCTGGCAGAGACATGATGCTGATATATTACTCTCAGTGTTTATAAACAACATCAAAATGAAAAAGAAATAGTATTTTAAATACCACTTAATTCCAGAGCTACTTGAGAAGCTGGGTTGTGCTTGGAGGACCACGCCATATCCAGTTTTCTGACCTGGTTTATTTTCATCTGTGAAACCTGGTCTCGGCCCTATGGCTTGAAAGTCCCAGGAAGGCAAGCTTACCACTAAGGTGGCTGGAATCTTGCTAGCTGTAAGGATGAGAGTCCAAGTTCACAGATGGCTAGAGGGCTTCTTTATAGGAACCACGAAAATTCTTGAAGTTGAAACAGGAGGTGACAAGAGGCTAATGGGGCAGAGGGATTGAGGGGCCTGGGGCTGAACAAGAGTGGGGCTGCTGGGTGAGAGGCTCCCAACTGAATCAGTGTTCCTCCTGTACATTGTGGAGCTTCCCTCAGGACAACAGGGCAATCGTACCCACATAACAACAGTAGTCATAGATCTGCTGGAAGAAACTTCCAGTAGCTTCCAGAACCAGAAGAGAGGTCTTGGAAGAATCCTTGAGCAGGCCTAGGAGTTCCAATGGAGCATACTATTGATCTTCATGTTTTATGTTACAGGACTTTTTGTGACTACTGCAAAAACAAGCACTACAAAATACAGGAATATAAAACCCAGACTGTGTAGAATAATTTCCTTCCTAAAAGATGCCATCCAAAATATTGTTATTTCATGTATTTAAACCTTTTAAGAACAACCTAAAATGAACTCCTTTCAAATGATCAATCCTATAATTGCTAGGAGACAAATCAGGAAGCCAATACACTACAATCAGGCCTGAGATGATGATGGGATACAACCACAGTGGTTGTATTAGAGAAGATGCAAGCTGTAGGAAACTTGATATATTTTAGAGGTACTGATAACACAACTTCCTGACAGACTGGCTATGGGATGAGAGAAAGGCAAGAATCTGGGGGATACCAAGGTTGTAATCTGAGTAATCAGAATAATGTGTGTCATCAACTAAGCTGCAGAAGGCCACAGACAGCACAAGGTGCTGAGGTGGAAGCTGGGAGGGAGTGACAATATTTAGAACTTCAATTTAGGAACAATTACACTTAAGGTAGATCAGATATTCAAATAGATATAACAAATAGGAAGTGGACCTGGAGTATGGAAAATAAAATTAGAATTGAAGATACACCTTGGGAGACATCTGTCTAAGACAATTTAAAATTTGACCACTTGGAGCTGGCACTGTGGTACAGTGCATGAAACTGCTGCCTACAATGACAGTATCCTGTATGGGCACCGGTTTCTGTCCTGGCATTCCACTCCTGATCCAGCTCCCTAGTAATGCACCTGAGAAAGCAACAGAAGATGGTTCAAGTGTTTAAACTTCTGCAACCCATGTGGGAGACTCCCATGAAGTTCCTGCCTTCTGGACTTGGGCTGGTACAGCTCCAGCCACTGCAGGTATTTGGGGAGGGCCTAGCAGATGAACAATCTGTCTCTTGCTCTGTGTGTGTGTGTTTATATTATTTATATTTATTATTTATATTATTTATATTTATATTGTGTTGTCTTTAAGTATCTCCCAAAGTGCATACACATCTCTCTCTATACACACAAACACATATAAAAATAACTCCTTTCAAACAAATAATCTTTAAAAAACATGACTTGGGGGACCAGTGCCATGCCATAACAAGTTAAGTTTACTCCTGTGGTACCAACATCCCATATTGGCACCAGTTCTAGTCCCAGCTGATTCTCTTTTGGTTCAGTTCCTTACTTGTGGCCTGGGAAAGCAGTGGAAGATGGCTCACATCCTTGGGCCCCTGTACGCAGGTTGGAGACCCAGAAGACAATCCTGGTTCCTGAACAGCTCAACCCCAGCTGCTATAGCCATTTGGGGAGTAAACCAATGGATGGAAGATCTCTCTTTATCTCCACTGTTTCTGTAGCTCTGCCTTTCAAATAAAAATAAATTTTTACAAAAATGTAAGACTTGATAACCACAAAAAATGACTTAAGAAATGACATTTGGGGTATTTAAATATTAAGATGGACAAATTTGGGTCTAGTGTGGTGGCATAGCCAACTAATCTTCCACCTACAGCAACAGCATCCCATATGGGTGGTGATTGGAATTTCAGCTGCTCCAACTCTGATCCAGCTCCCTGCTAGTGGCCTGGGAAGGCAGCAGAAGGTGATTCAAGGCCTTGGGGCCCTGCACCTATGTGGGAGACCTGGAAAAGGCTCCTGGCTTCAGACAGGCCCAGCTCTGGCTTTGCAGCCATTTAGGGAGTAAACCAGTGCATGCAGGAGCTTTCTCTCCTTCTTTGTTTAACTCTGACTTTCAAATAAAATAAATAAAGTCTTTAAAAAAGACTGACAGTTCTTTCCCAATCTCTTTGTTGGGCACATAGATAAGCATGTTACTGTATTCTCCCCCTGTTACTCGTTTCTCTCAGCATCATCAATTTACATCCCATTATCTTAATTAAGCCTTTCCATCCAGTTCCCTAGTACTGAGCAGAAGATACCAGGAGGCTGAAATTTTAAGTCTCATGATTAACTCCTGACAGCTCTATATGAGGAACAAAATGACCACTTCTGACATGCCTGCTACCATTTTGAATGTTTAAATTATTGGGTAACCACATCTGACCCAAGAACCTGAATGTCACATGGAACCCAAATACTATGTCCTCTTCTGCCATCCTGGATCCTGGTGTCTACCCTGTCTAGAAAAGTGCTAGCTATTTTCCTCCTCCTCTTTCCCCTTCAGCAACAGGCAGACCCTGACCTCTTCCCAACATGGCAGCACCAACTGGAAACCATTAATGATGAAAGCAACCCAAAACTGCTCACCATTTCTGTTATCAATGTTCTAGAACAACCAAGATCAGTAAAAGTATTATTATTCTGGCAAGAACAGTATATTTCAATTTTTGCCTTACTCAATCAGTTTTCACTGAACATTTAAGATATGTAATGATTTTACACACTAAATAAACTACTACAATTTCCCCAACACTACAAGTCATCTGTGAATTTGGCACTATTTGGGAAATGAAATATGGGAAATACAAAGTAGCAAGGAAACAGATACAAGAGGGAGCATCAATGACAATAAGTTCATTTAAACTACAATGAAGAGAAAATTAATGTCCTTTTTTAATGTGTGCCCTTTTAAAATTGCCGAGACTTGACCAGGGCTAATGGTAGATTTCCAAAAAGAAGAAACAGCCAAGACAAAGGCATGTGGTCATAAAATTATTAAGTACACACAGGAACAGTGAGGTTTTTAGGCAGAAGAATTGTGGGGGATCACAATGAGAAACAGAAATACCGAGGTGAGTCATACTTTGCTTGTTAAAAAACACACAGAAACATCACAAATATTTTCAAGTGAGATTTTCAAGTGTCTTGTAATACAGCTAAAGCAACTGTAACAACAAACTACACCACTGTCAACTTCCCAAAATACACACATTATAGTTAAATACTGGATCCTTGAGAAAACACAGTCAAACCACAAGTATATTTTAAAATAATTGCAAAGGGTTATGCAAACCTATAATGAGGAATGGAGAGTTGTGGCTATAATCAGCCTTTAATTCACTCTCCTTGTCCAACTAAAAGGAAGGAATTTAGAGCAAATGTATTTGAAATTCTTCAAAGGGTGCTCACAAAAGAATATTTTTAAATGAGATCCTGGAAGCTTGTAATTTTGTGTTATGTCAGTTGTGCACTGATTGTACTTAAGACCGCTGTTATGAAAGAGCAAATCTGATACGAACTAGTTTCAGTAGCCAAATTGCTCTATTTATAGACTTTTACCAACATTCCACTTCTTCCACAGAAGAAGTTAAACAGAATGTCATGAAGCTAGAGACAAAGTTAGAAATAAGCAGAAATTTGGGATGCAAAGAAATATCTGAGCTCTTCCATGGTTCTCTTAAACTAAGACTCACGGGTCACTTCATATTCATACATTTTTTTTTCCCTCCTGAGAGTTATTGCCATTTCCTTCTGATTATTCCTGTCGTTTTAAAACTGTCTCTTACAGCACTAAAAATCAGAGAAATGATCATAAATGGATAACAAGCATTTTAAGAATATTAGAAAATCATCTTGAAAAGTTAACCAGCATTGACATTGTTTAGACCTGAAAAATCCCTTTGCCTTTTCAAGCAGAAGAAATTGTAGTTTTCCTGTTTTATAT